ACAACAACAACGAAAATACCCAATGTGAAACAAGCAAGAAACTAATTATGTTTCCATCATTGCAAAAAAGACCATATGTGATCATTGCTATGGTCAATAACTGAATCTACACATTGGCAGGCCGTTATTTTTTTTCTTTTCAAAAATTTCAAATATTGTAGATCTACAGATCTATATCTGCCTTTTTTTCTTTCTATTTAGATTATAAGACTAGTACTGTTATTATTGCCTTAAATTGGATATAGTCCAAGTATGTGGCTCATCTAGCTCTTAGAATAAAGACTACAGACTCCAGTAATTTTGCACAAAAAACATGATCTTCAGAAAATTGTTATTACACTCTGAATAATCTACAATTGCTCCCCTCTGGACCAACATTAAAATAAAATCCTTTCCTCAAACTTAAAATTGGTATAGTTTAATATAGTACTTCAAATTTCTCTACAGCTCTTCAATTCTTCAATCTTATTACAAAGAACCTAACGTAACAAATGAAATTCTTCCCATGATCAAGAAACCATAGGAAGTCCAGGTGACAATTCAAACTGAATATGTTCAAAACTTTTCTCACCCAAGTGCTTCTGCTATCTGCCCCTTCCCAGTTAATGAGAATACCACTGTTTTTCTGATCCTCAGAGCCTACCACCAACCTATACTAAGCTCCATCAATGCTGTCTTCAAAATTCCTCTCTGTAGGATAACACTGTTCTGTCCTTCCAGCATAACCTCAGGAATAGTTGATAGTTTATTGGACTGAGGAAAAGAGAAAAACACCTTAAGAGGTATCTTGCCCTTGAGCAGTCAGGAAGGGCTTTCTTATGTTGATTTGGCTACCTGACTGGGTGGAGTGTCAGCCCAGACTAGAAGGGAGCTGGAGAAGGAGAGAGCAGGGCTGAAAGATGGACTACCAAGAGACTAGCAAGGGGAACATGTGCTTGAGAGAACCTAGGCCCTCCACAACATAAGTTCTTCTATGGGATAAACTTCCTATCAATAAACTGCCACTAAGACCAACTGGCCTGGCCCTCGTCTCTTCCTTCATCTGCCCTTGGCCAACAGCCGTCCCAATGCAGGCCACACACAGCAGCTCTAGGGCATCGAACGAGGGCGGTGAGATAGAGCCTTCCAGAGAGCCCACGAACACACAACCTTCTGCGTGCATAGTTTTTTACACTCTCCTAGTCCATCACATCTCCTCACCCTAGCCAGAGTTGTTCATTAGCTCCATGCTGCCCTTTCCCCCCTCATCATGGTTTTCCTGGTCTCTCAACTGATGTTTTGCTTCTGTCTTGACCCCACCACTGCCCAGTCAGAAGGATCCTCTTTTGTTTTTCTTAAATTTTTATTAGTGAAACACCATGAGGTACAGTTGTAGAGTTACAAATTTTTGTCTTGGGTTTCAGTTATAGTAATTAAGTACCCATCCCTCCACCAGTGCCCATTCTCCACCACCACTGACCCCAGTATCCCTCCCACCCTCCAACCCCCCATCCCACCCTACCTCTGCGGCAGGGCATTCCCTTTTGTTATCTCTCTCTTTTTGAGTGCTGTGGTTTGCAAAAGAGACATTGAGTAGCAATCATGTTTGGACTATAGTCTACTCTCATCACACATCTCCCATCCTGAGAGGAACCTCCCAACACCCTTTATTTGGTGCTCCCTTCTCTATCTGAAGCTGCCTTTTCCCCTAGCATGTGCGGCTGGCCTCAAAGCCATGGAGTAATCCTCCTGGGACTTATCTCAGCTATTCTTGGGTGTCAGTTTCCTATTTTATTACTTTATATTCCCCAGAAGAATGCAATCTTTCTATGTCTGTCCCTCTCTTTCTGACTCATTTCGCTTAAAGCATGATACTTTCCAAAGTCAAACTAGGCCGTTCCACTCTGGGTTGGAAGGACTTCTCACTCCCTCTCAGTTCCATCGTGAGGGAGAGACAGTCTCGGTAGTGCCCTCCATATCCTATCTTGAGCTGTCCTCATGGCTTCTGGCCTTTTAATGACCTCCATCTCCTTTGCTCTGCTCCACCCTTGCTGCCCGCCTTATAGTTTCTCCCACAAACAGGAAAAGCTCCATCCAACCCAACACCTTGACTCTGTCTGATCCTTCCTCCTGGAAATCTGTCTCCCTGGATGTTTGCACTGTTCTCTTCCTCACTGACTGAGGTCTTCACTTGGTACCTCCGGCATCCTTTTCTATTCACTCTAAAATTGTCTTCTCGTCACACTCCTGACCCAGCATCCTCTAATAGTTTTCTGTATAGAACCACCGCACTTTAATTCCAGGCTTCACTTACATATCATTTGTTGCTGTCACCCTACTGTCACCAGATTATAAAATCTCCTTAGGATACAAGTTTTCTACTGTTCCAGGTTTTATCCCAAGCAGTTAGAACATTAAGAAGTGATAACAAATCCTCCTTGTAAAAGTTTACATAGAAACAAAAGAACTCCATGAGGGTACCTATAAACAGCAGCCTAGTACAGAGTTAAGAAGTTCCCTCTTAATGCTCTTTCTGCAATGCAGAACCACTTCATTTCTTATGCAAACACCAGGCTATGCTGAGTGGTATACTTAGCCTAGAATCACAGAATAAAATGCAATTTACTAATTAGAATAATGGATTTTAAATGCAGGTCTCTTTATTTTTAAAACAACTTCCTGTGTATCTTATTGAAAATGTTTTTTTTCCTTTAAAAAATGGTTATTTCTTTTTCTCCTTTGCTTCCTGGCAGGCTACAAAATACTGATATTCCAGCATGGATATGTATAATCTGCTTTGTGTTTCCACTTCTGAGTAGAACATTGAAGAGAACTTTTAACTAGACACATGATATGAGCAGATCCATTTGGAGAGGACGGATTGATTTTCATTCTATCAGTTCATGATTAAAATTAATGTCAAGGTGACCCATGTATTTGTAACAAAGATGTTTCCTTCTGGATACCTCAAAATTGAACAGAAACCTCAGCGCTCTGACCATTTTATTCATTACATTAATCAAGTTCACTAAACCACATTGCATGTTTAGTAGTTAGAAATCCTCCCAAATTTAATAATTTCATTTCCTCGACTGGGTTTTTAAACCCTATACAAAGGCGATGTTTAGTTACAGATTGAGAATATCCTTTTATAGTCAGAAAAAATATAATAGATCTAGACTCAAAACTGCTGTCAATTAATTTAGAACATCTCTAAATATTTAACATTCCCACTAAAAGAAACATTACCTTCAATTTCCAAAGGATTTCTTTTCAATTATCCTGACTGTGTGGTTTTGGATGTTCTGACAGTCCACTCTCTGCTGTTATTCCTTACCCTAAGAACAGCTTAATTCTCTTGACTCAACCATATGGGGTTAGATTCTGAAAAGCCCCTCCTCTTGCCAACATCTGTCCATTAATTTCAGATAAAGAACAGACCGAGCATCTTAAAATGTAAAGTCAGCGTTAGTCCCAGAGATCATTTAAACTGTAAAGAAATTTAAGTACTCAGAGCTCTCCTAAGAAAATCTGAGAAGGAAACTTACCTTTACATTATCCATTAAAGATCCTTCTTTATGTGAGTTCTAATTGGTCCTGAATAGTGATGGAATGCAAAATCTACAATCAGCTCTATTGCAAGTAGAGTATGTTCTATGAATTGTAAATAGATGCAGAAGTTGGCAACAATGGCAAGAGAACAAAAGTAGCTCTGCCTGAAAACACTCAGCCCTCAGGACAGACACCATTTTAACTCACAAAATCAACTGGAGCAACAATTAAAAGGGCCAAACATTCCTTTGAACAGAAAATCAGGAGCAGAAGTGTGATTCTTAGATACTAATTATTAACGTTTTGACTTTTCCCCAACAGTGTGGAAAAAAATACAACCTAGAATATGTTTAATAATCCATCCATTCAAAATGAGCCCTGTAAATTGGCCTTCTGGTTCATTAAAGAACAGTTAGTGAGGAGGGAAAGTTACTGAGTCATCTATTTTCATTGTGTGGTTGGATGAGTTAAAAATCTCGCCACACACATTTAGTGTTGCTACCCATTTCCCCCTCCATGACCAGATATTTCCTTTGAATAAAGAAAATCTGGGTGCATAATTTTAACATAAAAACAAGCAAAGCAGCATGCGGTCCTCTGAAATGATTAATAGAAAAGTGATTGGAATTAATCACAAACACAAGAGGAAGCTGAAATTAGAGAGGGTTATTAAGGTACTCTCTGCTGTTTAATCTCATCCCCTTATCAACACATTAACCTTGTTTTCTCTGCCTGCACACTGAGTCCAATAGCAAAATTAGGTCAGAAATTCACATCAGATCAGATCAGATGATTCATTCCAGCAAAACACCGACATGCTGCTGACTTGAGTTTTTTTCCAGATGGAGGTGTGGCTGAGGGTTTTGGGGGGTTGTTTTCTAAGGTCTATCCAAGGGAACTATAGTTAACTGTAGAGTATTTCTATACTAGTATGAGAGTATTTCAAATATTCTAAGGGTAATTGTAGAGTATTTCTAAAAATTGGCACGGTTGCTAAAAATTGGCACCGTTGCATTTCTGAACTGTGATTAATTTGACTGTCTTCACTGCATCTGGGTGGTGCTCTAACAACTAATTTGATAGGGAAAAAAAGTATTTCATTTTTCTACATGTTTCCAGTTAAATGCAACCAGTGATATTATCTATTGCTGACCAAATAGCTATTTATACAGCACTAAATGGATTGTCATTCACTAAAAGGCAGTTCAATAAATGTTCCCTCTTTCTACATAGTCTTCTGCCACAAATCATGGGTATGTTTCTGCAACCCATAGCTAACTAAAGAGGATTTATGGAACTGCTAACATTTCTCTAATAAGAGCTTTTAGGTAATTATGCCTTTAGTTAATCACTTAAAATCTTAAACTATTCAAAATACTAGTATCATGCCCTTTTATTATTTTAGTAATTATGTTTTAGTAAAAGAAAAGCAAATAGTTTTATTATTTTTATGTCTGATTTTTCTCCAGATTCTAACGGATGCACAATTGAGGTCCTTTGTGTCTCTGGTTAGCAGAAATGCTGAGACCCTCACTGAAAATAGCACCCATGTACATGCACCAATATGCAATTGCATGTATCTTTTAAAGGAACTGTAAGTAATCTAATGTAATCTAATTCCATTTCTGACTGTCACTTTTAAAGAGGAAATATAACCTCATATAGATCCCTTGAGGGAGTCCACAGGGAATAGAGACATTCCTAATCAGACTGAGTAGTCCTTTGTGTCAGAAGCACTTGGCGAAAGTTGAGAGCTTCCTTCCAGACTTGCAATGTTTAGGAGAATTTGACTCATGCAGTATTTGTCTCAGAAAAAATACAATAGTAAAATAACTATAAAGCAAGAGCTGTAAATAAATTTTCTTGATGCCTTTGATTTGAACTATTTCATATCACATTTTCAAAGAAACTAATAATGAAATTAAAATGTGTAGTGATTTTTCAGAATCCAGAATGAAAAATGGAACAAAAACTCCGAGCATTGTGTTTTAGGGATGCAAGATCTTTTGATTGGCTGTGTTTTTTAGGGCATACCTTACTTGCTATCATAACTGAGGCACTACTAGAAAACGGTGAAACTCCAAAGTAGGTATTCACTCATAGACAAACATACATTGGTACTGCCTTATATATTGTGATCATACTCAGCTCTCAGAAGAGTCAATTTCTTCCAACATCTTGTGCCTGTTCTATGTCTGCATTTAATATTTCCCTCAAACCTCCATTGTGTACCTCAGTTTTCATCCCCACACAAGACAAACTAAAGATCTGTAGCACATTTCAAGAGAACCCATTTGTTGGGAGCTGATGTTTTGTTTTTGTTGCTGCCATCTTAACGAAAAGTAAATCCTATTTAACAGTACCTGCACAAATCTATTAGGATTTATAATAACAAAAATGATGCATGTTCTTCATTAACATTCCTCTTTTAAGTCTTTTCCTTTCTCCCTTAAATATTAGCTGAGACTTTTAAGAGACTTTAACAGAATCCCTCCATATTTATTTCTTCACCCACTAAGTCTTTTCAGTAAGATCCCGTTTGAGAAACAAAAGTGGAGCTGCCAGAAATTTTGTATTAACAAGAGGCTCAAGTTAGTTTAAAAAATTAAAAACTGCACTTAAAAAGCCTTGGTGACTTAGAAACTGAGAAAGTGTGAATGGATTCTTTTCTAAGAACTCGGTGTTTTAAGCTTCCTACATCAGCACAAAAGGCATTCCAGCACATATGTGATCCAGAAGGTCAATCATATGAAATCCTATTTCCATTTTTTAAGCAATCCTCGGCAGTGTGCACATTTCTGACACTGCAACTGGCATATTTCACAGAGAATTATCATCAGTATGTTCTCAAGGTCAAAAATGCCCCATCTTTAGATTTGCAGCATTAACATCCGATATATTAAACCATACTCTATCTTTGAGAAGGCATTCAAGTGACATGTTAAAATTTTTTAATTGATTAGACTGTGTTCATTAGTGCCATGTTGCATTTTCTCTGCAACTTGACATAAATTGCATGTTACAATATTAAAACATGTGTCAAGTTTAGATGTGGGCTTTCTGCTTCCTCTCAGTCTCCCTGGAAGCCCCCAAATTCCTGTGTGACCAGAATCTTGCTGTGGAGATTTCAAGGTATTAAAATGCATTTCTTATTAGGAAAGTTGAAGCCATTTCAAAATGGTTCTGACAGAGAAATGATGATATATTTTTAAATTGCCAGAACCCCAAGATATTGGCCACCATATGATCAAAATGGGGCTGGAGCGATAGCACAGCGGTAGGGCGTTTGCCTTACAATTGGCCAACATGGCCGACCCGAGATCGATTCCTCCAACCCTCTCAGAGAGCCCGGCAAGCTACCGAGAGTATCTCGCCCACACGGCAGAGCCTGGCAAGTTACCTGTGGTGTATTCGATATGCCAAACACAGTAACAAGAAGTCTCACGATAGAGACATTACTGGGCCCGCTCGACCAAATCGATGAACAACGGGAGGACCGTTATGATAAAAATGAAACAGAATTTAAACATTGCAGTGGAAACCAAGGCAGGATCACTTGAGCTATCCACAGCCAGCTCAATGCCAAGGGCAGTTGATGTCTTCAGTCTTCTGTCTTATTACTTTTTTGTTCCTGTATTCTTTCTCTCTCTCTATCTCAAGAACATCCAGTAGCTTCTGTGTACTTACTGTTCTTACTGTCCATAACTTTTCCTTTGGAATAGAAAAAAACCATGGGAAATACTGCAACAATTTAGGAGGCTTTATTAGAATGTTGTCTCCTTCAAAGGAATTGCACTTTAAATTATCTGCAGACTAAAATTTGGAAGTATAGAAAGTCATTTAAAGCATAATTGACTGATAGCAAGACACGTGCTCTGTCTCTCACAAGTAAAGTAAAAAGTAAAGGCCCTCCCATTGATCGTCGATTTGCTCGAGCGGGCCCAGTAACATCTCCATTGGAGACTTTGTTGTTACTGTGTCTAGCATATTGAATACTCTTGGTAGCTTGCCGGGCTCTCCGAGAGGAGCGGAGGAATCGAACTCGGGTCGGCCATGTTGGCCGCTTGTAAGGCGAACGCCCTACCCACTGTACTATCGCTCCAGCCCAAAATACAATAATGCTTGAAATGTCCAAAGACAAGAGAGCTGAAGAACGAGTCTGTAGAATTGAGCTCACCAGGGTGGAGGATGAAGACGTAAAAGATGGGAGTAGGGTTTAGGTTAAGAGGGAAACACTGGTAAAAGATGTGAAGTTGAAATATTTTATGTATGAAATCCTATCATTGATAGTATTATAAGGCACAATAACTAAATTTTTCTTAGAAAATAGTGTTTGGAACCTTCTCTACAGGGTCAGCCATTCATTCTTCGCTCATTCACATATACTGGGCATTTTTTTCACCTGTGACCACTAAGCAGAACGTACTTTTACCATGAGATTTATTTCTTACCACCTACCTAAGGGAGTCATCATAGTACTTTATTTCTTCACTTCCCCCAAAGCTTAACAGTTCTCTTTCTGTTGTAACTATTCATATCAACATCTTTTTTTTGTCTTTGGGCTATATCCGGTAGTGCTCAGAGTTTATTCCTGGTTCTGCACTCAGGAATTACTCCTGGTGGGCTTGGGAACTATAAAGGGTGCAGAGAATCAAACCCAGGTCAGCTGCATGGAAAGCAAACACCCCATAGACTGTAGTAGGGCTCTGGCCCCGGCCCCTCAAAATTTTTCAGTTTCTTTTGTCTTCAGAAAACACAATAGGAAAATGAATTTAAAAAAAACTTCACCTACTTGAACTGAGGATCTAGTTCAAGGGATGACAGCTGATAAAATCTCAAAACTGCCTTTTATTTAATTTCAACTTCCTTCTCCCCACTTTTTCATGAACAAATCCCATTAAATATTTCCCCAAGCCCTCCTCCAAAGCTATCACTTTATTTGTCGCTTTATACAGAGACATTGTCCTCCTTGGGGGAATCTCTCTCTACTCATGAAATGGTCCTCCAACATTCTTCTGCAGTTAATGTTTATATAAGTAACTAGGTGCTCCAGGGAACACTAGTAGTTGCTTTTGTATCTCCCTAACTTGGGGTTCCAGGTACCCTCAACGAGAGTGTGAAGTTTACAGAATATGGTTTTCATATTTCTACTTTTAGTTTTGATGTCTACCATAATTCTTCTAACTGCCCAGTTTTATTCAATAGATAGCTAAAAGGACTCACAAATATTGATATTCCAAAGATAAAAACCTATCTCCACAATTTAATTTAAAACTTCAAGAATATTATTTAGTTAGTTGAAACCATCAATGTTTTATTGACTTTCTGAGATAATACTAGTTCACATCAGTGTTAGTATTAATATTTTTAGTTATAATTTTCTACCCCAACCCCTTCTTCGAAGTGCCAATAAGCCCCTGCCACAGTCCAAAGAATCCTTTCCTTTCACTCATTTCATTATGTTTTAGATGTTTAAACTAGAGGTTGCATACCACTACCACCACCAATAGCAAATAGACTACCAACAACAACAAAGCAAAGTTTGCAATGATTTTCAAGTATTTATCCTTCTCAACTCCTCTAGCTCACTAGTTAGTTAATTCCCAAGTTGTTCATCTGTGCCAACTTTGCAGTTTCCACTCTAGTCCAATCTACCATCATATTTTACCTGAACTATTCAGACTTTTTTAATCTCAACTTCTTGCATGTATTCATGTGTCAACACACAGAAACAAGAGTAATCCTTGTAAAATATTTCGTTAGAGCATGCCACACAGCTGATCAAAATTATTTATTCCTTTTTTACCTTCAGAAAAATATACAATAATTCATAAGACCTCACATTACCCAGTATCCCACAGTTTAAATTTACTTCCCCCAGTGTCCTCTTTGAGCACTGCATGATTTCTTGTGTTTTGCTTAAAACACATCAGACTTGCTACTTCCTCTGTCTAGAATTCTTTCCCTATAGATAGATATTTGACTCATATGCCTCTGAATATGCTTCCAATGTTTCAAACATAATTTATTTAAGAGGTCTTCTCTGGTTTTCTCTGGCTTCTCATTTTATTCCATCTCCTTTATTATGTTTTTCAGTATAAAACGTTGTCACTACTAGTCATTATATATATATATATCATTATATCTAATATATACATTATATGTAATAATTTTTCTCAGCTTTCTCTCTCACTCTTCCTTCAAAATAGATTGCTAATATCCATAAACTTCTTTCTGTTGTCTCATAAAGGTCAAAAATGCTGCTTGATACACTCATTCTAAGGATATGAAGACATTAGTTTAAAGACACATTTGCTCTATTATCTTCATAGCAGCTATACTCATAACTGTCACGATATCGAATCAAGCTATGCATGCATCAAGAGATGAATGCATAAAGAGGCAACGGTATATTTGCTCAATTGAATATCACTCTGTCACGAAAAAATGTGAAGTTGACCTCTTGGATGGAACAACATGCATGAAACTTGAGGTAACAATGCTAAGTGAAATAAATCAGGATGTGGAAGACAATGACTAAATTTTTTGACCCACATGTAGAACATAAATAAGTAAATCAAATAAACTATCTCAAAACAACAAAAAGCAACTCCTAGACTAAGTAGAGCCTACAGTAATTATGAGAGGGAGAGGGTCAAGTAGAAGCAATGACTGTTTATGGTGGCAGGCTGGCACTGAGACTTTGGTGGTAGGTATACTGTCACTGTCCTCCCATTGTTCGTCGATTTTGTGGTAGGTATAGTGAATTGTATATAGTATAGAGGCATTGGGCTGGAGCAATAGCACAGCGGGTAGGGCGTTTGCCTTGCAAGCATCCAATATGGTCGACCCAAGTTTGATTCTTCTGCCCATCTCAGAGAGCCCAGCAAGCTACCAAGAATATCTCACCCGCACGGCAAAGCCTGGCAAGCTACCGTGACGTATTCAATATGCCAAACACAGTAACAACAAAGTCTCACAGTGGAGACATTACTGAGCCCGTTCGAGCAAATCAATGAACAACGAGAGGACAGTGGGCAGTGGATAGAGGCATTAAAGCTGTACCCACAAAATCCTATAATGTTGCAAACTAATGATAAATCAATTAAAAGGTAACAGAGATTCTATAAAAATAATTATATTAAAATGAATTCTATAAGAAATTGTGTGGTGATCACTGTCCTTCCATTGTTCATCGATTTGCTCGAGCAGGCTCAGTAACGTCTCCATTGGAGACTTTGTTGTTACTGTGTTTGGCATATCGAATACGTCACAGGTAGCTTGCCAGGCTCTGCTGTGCGGGCGAGATGCTCTCGGTAGCTTGCCGGGCTCTCCGAGAGGGGCGGAGGAATCGAACTCGGGTTGGCCATGTTGGCTGCTTGCAAGGCAAACGCCCTACCGCTGTGCTATCGCTCCTATAGATTAACTCTTGATCATTTCTCACTACAAAAAAACAATCTGAAAATAATATTAAGTCTATTATATTTAATTATAAGGTAGGAAGAATTAAATAATTTAAAAAGTACTTGGTAGTAAAGTTTCATTAAACATTTCTCTAATCATTCAGTAATAAGTTTATCTTAACAATATGCGGTGCCTGAGCACATATGTCGCCCACATCTCTCCTCTTGAAGTGTGTACTTTCATGCTTTCATGTCTGAAGCTGGGATGTGTGTAGGGGCCTCTCCACCCTTGGAGAAGCCTGGGTTCTGTCTTGAGCATATTACTCTCCACTCTCTCCCATTTTCTCTCCCTCCTTCCCTTCACAACTTCCAAATAAAAACTGTAATTTCAAAAAATAATAGAGGAAGTACAGAATCGTGCTCATGAAAGTTACAAACAGGATAACTTGAACATCAGCAATCATGCTTCCTATTGTTTTTGCTATTTTCTTCTGGCCACTGATCACATTGACTTCAAACCAGAGATGTTCTATTTTGCTCCACTAAGCCTCTCTTTGTTCTTGGGTTTGGGGCTATAGCCAGGGCTCTGAACTCGAGTATGGTGGCCTGAGAGAACCAAACAGGGTACTATGTCTGGTCCCAGCTAAGTCTCACTTTTTGATTCTTGGCATAAGGTCGCCCTGACTGATTCATTTATTTCAGCGTTGGGTTTCAGAATATAGATTGAACATGAGTCCACATTACTAAATCCCAGAAATCTATTTAGTTGAAATGAGTATTTCCAGGCATGGTAGCACTGTAGCACTGTCTTCCCGTTGTTCATCAATTTACTCGAGTGGGCCCAGTAACATCTCACAATGGAGACTTGTTGTTACTGTGTTTGGCATCTTGAATATGTCATGGGTAGCTTGCCAGGCATTGTTGTGTGGGTGAGATACTCTCGTAGCTTGCAGGGCTCTTCGAGAGGGGTGGAGGAATCGAATTCAGGTCAGCCTGGTTGGCCGTGTGCAAGGCAAATGCCCTACCTACTGTGCTATCATTCCAGCATAGTAGCTTTATTTATTCTTTAACTAGACAAACCTCCAGGAAGAAATTCTCAATATTCTGATCTTCAGAAATTCCATTGACAATAGGTCAATCGGACACAAAGTATAAACTTTTACAATACTCTGGTGGAGAACATAGACTATCACAGAACATGGCAGGTAACTTATTTGCTCTTTGTCCAACAAGACTAGGGTAAATTTGCTTAATGCTTGAGTTGATATAGAAGATTTATGAGAGAGTGAGAAAAAAGGCAATAAATCTGAATATAAACAGATTTTCAATACTATTTTTTTAAATTTTTTTAGTTTTTATTTATGATTCTGATTTATATACTATTAATAATAAGATTTCAGGCATATAATGTACCACCAGATAGCAACCACCAGTGTCAGCGTTCCTCCACCAATGTATGAAGGTTCCTTTGCTGCTCCTATATTTTTTATTTTTTTCCAGGGTGGGAGGGAGCTGTTGTCACACCCACTGATGCTCAGGGCTCACTCCTGTGTATTGCTCAGGGGACCATGTAGTGTGCAGAGAATCAAACCCAGGCTGGATATGTGCAAGAGAGCACCTTACTCATTGTAGTATCTCCCCCACCCATTTGCTTTTGCTTTAAAAAAAATTCTTTTCTTTTTTATTTTTATTTTTGTAGTTTAGGTCATTGGTTGCAATTGTGCTGACATTCACGACTTTGATGAACAGTTATTGCACCTTCATCACCATCGAAGTGATATGGACTCTCCACCTCTGTCTTTACATCACCTCTAGTCAACCTGTTAGAGTAAGTGACTCAGTGGCAGAATGCCAGCCTTGCATATATGAATCCCTAACTTTTTTCTCTGTGGCACTATAAAAATAAACAAAAGCAACAAAAACAACAACAAAAAATCTATCTGTAACTTATCCTAGAAATTGCTTGTTAACACAGTAAGACCCAACTAAAATTCACATAAGTAATCTTTTTTTTTTTTTGCTTTTTGGGTCACACCCAGCAATGCACAGGGGTCACTCCTGACTCTGTACTCAAGAATTACCCCTGGAGGTGCTCAGGGGACCATATGGGATGCTAGGAATCAAACACGGCTTGGCCAAGTGAGGCAAATGCCCTATCTGATGTGCTATTGCTCCTACCCCCACATAGTAAATTTTTGACTCATTTGTAATATACATGAGTATATTAAACATGAATGTGTTAAATAGACATAATATAATAAACATGGCTTTGGTGCTCCTCTATTTTACTTAAACTATTCCTGTCCCTGGAGCTTTCAGTTTCCTCAAAGTTGTTGATGAGCCCCATTATACTCTGAGAATATATAATCACCTAAAATTAGCTACGTTTGCTCCTCAGTATTAGAAAGCATTCTGAAGACTGCTGATGAAACACAGGAGTGAAACATATTCTGAAGGCTGATGATGAAACACAGGAGTGGGTGATTTTAAAAATATAATAAAATTGTTTGAAAAGAATTATATTTATGTGCTTGCAGAAAAGAATGAGTTGTTGAGTATTAATGTCAAGATGACATTTTAGAATTTAGATCTGAAATTACTTTAGAAATATGTTCTTTGTTATGAATTTTGGAAATCTCAGACTCGTAAAAGTAAAACCCTAATGAATGCACAAAAATCTACTGGAAGTGCCTTTTAAGAAGAAAATAATTATGTTATGAAAAGGTGTTGAGCACATTCTAGAAAGAAATGAACTAAAACCTGTTAGGAAGGAAAAAATAAAACAGTACAGTGCCCAACAAGTTAGTTGACTAAATGATAAATATGTCTTATTGTAAAATGCTTGTCAAATGTTTAAAGTATATTTTTATACACAATCAAAAGCTCCATTTTAATAGTCCAGAGAAAGAAGACTATAACCCCAGAATAACCCAGTACAAAATATCTATTTTATATACCAAATATTTCTCCATCTTCCTCTTTTACCTTCCCCTCCCCAACCCCCACTGGTTCATATAAGTTATTTGTCATGAAGAGATTGGAGTCAGGACTTTTTGTTTGTTCACTTAGAAACCAGAGATTAATTTCAGCCCTTTTAACAAAATGACATGCTAGTAAGTATGAGAAGCCAACCATTTTATTTTGGTAAGTATGTATATAGTCTCTGGGTCTTCGCATTCGTGGCCATGCCACATCTTATCATCTAGTTCTTACTCTGGAGAACCTGGCAGGCTACCAAAAGTATCCTGCCCACGTGGCAGAGTCTGGCAAACTCCCCGTGGCATATTCAATATGCCAAAACCCAGTAACAATGATGGGTCTCATTCTCCTGACCTGACCCTGAAAGAACCTCGAATGTGGCACTTTCTAAAATCTCAAGGCTAGGACGAAGGAGACATTACTGGAGCCTGCTAGAGGCAATCGATGAACAACAAGAAAACAGTGATACAGTGAAGTATGTATAGTTGAGCATGGAAACAAGCTTTTTGTGTGAACATTACAGTACATTTTCAGTTAACTTAACTATTGTTCAGTTATCCAGTTCATTGATAAAGAGTAATCACCTAAATTCTTGATGCTCACACTTATAAATGTACTCCACTGAAGAGAGAAAACTTCAGCAAATGTAACATGTTTCTAGTTATAGCTGGGTTACAAACATCACACACACACACACACACACACACACACACACACCATTGAAAACAAAGTACAATCTTTCCACAAAATTTCAAAAGATGTCTTTCCTTCTTTCTTGTCTCAGTGCCTGGGGAAATTACCCTCAATTTGGAACCTGGAGTCTGGGGTTTATTTGCTTGTAGCTGGCAGACTTCCCTGCATAGAAGTCTTATCATATGAACAAACCTGGACCCTTGATAATGGATGAAAAAATATACTAGTTTTAAAATTATCCATAGACAGCATATAATGAGGTTTTCACCTTCATTCAGTGGCTCAGATAATTCTAATTGTTGGTGAATCTTCCTAACTGCGAAGATAAGCCTTATGTAAGGAACATAAGCCAAGAGTTGAGGGTGGGGTATGCACCAAACACTCATTAGTAAC